CAGAGAAGACTCAATTGTGAGACCTTAATATTTTTTCCCAAAGATGACAAGAAATCGGACTGTCACAAATTAGTAACACCTTATTAGGGTTAATATTAACTAAATTTCGACCTAGGGCGCTGAGCTTTCAGCACAGTACCGCTAGTAAGCAGCAGTTGGGCCATCAGATAGTAAAGTGGTTTCTAAATTTACAGGAGTAAGACCACAATAATTTTTTTATAAATCGTAATAAAAAAAAGTGTGCGCACATAAGAGGCAGCCAGTTAAAAAAACCGATGTAAAATACTATGGCCGCAGGGATGGATAATGTGAATAATCAATTGAAAAAAAATCCAAATTCGAAAATGTTCCATTGAGAATGGAGCAGTTTTTACGAAATTGAGGATACTCGATTCTGTGGATGACGTGAAGGGATTCCGTGGGAAGATTGCACAGGCACATACACGCAAACTGCACAATGGGTCGAAGTGTTTGAGTTAGAAAAAGCAGACCTAAGCTGCGCTTGTATTTACAGGGCTAAAAAAAAGGTTACGTTATGCGTGCTCCACCACCTCCAGTTCCGGTAGCACGAGCACGCACACCTCATTTCGCTTCGTTTTGCCTGCCCTATCCCACTACCCAGAGTGCAATTGGGGTGAGGGGAGGAAGAGGGCAAGAAGCACACGTGGAAGGGCAGAGGAAATGCGTATGCATGTGCGTGCGAGTAGATGCGAAAATCGTGGTCGAGCTAAACACGACGGAAGAATGTTTTATTCATGGTCGATGCAAACATGCAGCTGTAATCTAAGATTCGACGACTTGCCAAACAAGACTCTCTGAGCAAACACAAATACGGTACCAAGAAAGCAAGTTGTGCTAATTCACTTAACAAATATAAGGAGAACTTAAGTGTGAAGGCCTTTTAGCGTTTTGTTTGGACGGAGACATACCACCGATAATGTTTCCCTAGATTCTCAAATAAAGGAAATTCATGTTTAACAAAATGCGGTAGCATTTAGGGACTCGGAAGTCAAATCAGGGACATTGTTCAAGGATTTAAAGTTAGGATGTCTCTACGCTACTTCAAAGATCAGTTGGGGTTCAATTTTAAAAGATTTGACAGGTAATCTTTATATGACTGTCAAAACATCCTAGTTATATTATGGTGAATTGCATCGTGGTTCAGACGGTAACCACACTGAGACAAATGGGCGCAGAATTCACTAGATTTACATTAACGGTTATATCAGTGGGATGGTAAACAACCCAGATAGAAAATCATAAGTAAATTTGAGACTCCTGCAAGTGAAATGTGGACGCAAATTAAAAATCCCAAGATGTAGCCGCGTCTATTACCTTGATCTATAGACTAGAAAGCGAATCAAATCTACTACAATGAACAATACGTAGTGTAGGAAATTGCGCTAAATAGTCGCGTAAATTTGGGCGTAGTTAAGCGCAACGAAATTACGCGCATATCAGCGAAGATGCATGCAGAAAACCATATATGCGATCATATATGTTATCATGCGTTATTAATTTGTACTGATCAGCAGTTAACTGGAAAAATTATTACAGTTTCCGTCATTTGCAAGGTAAAATGAGCTGATGTGAACATACGTTCAGACGCAAAAAGGTACATTTAATATAGAAATAAGAGCAAAAAGCAAAACTCGTCAGGGAACCGCAATGTTTTGACGAGAACGTTTAAGAATGAGGACCCAAAATGATAAAGAATGAACATGGATCACTCGCAAGTAGCCGATTCGCTAAATGAACATGTTAGTCTATGTAAGTTATTGCAATGATCATAGAAACAATTCCATGAATTTTAACTTAAAACACCACATGAAAGTTTATTCTTTTGTGCTGAATTTACAATGGCAAAAAGGCACTACCACAAAAGGATTGGAAGTCTCTGTCCTCACAGTAAGAGACAGAGAGCTTCATTGCTAGCGATTTAATGAAGCAGCAGACGAATAAATACAATCTCTTAAGAGCTGTCCTAGCCCCTAATGTTCATTCAGTTTGACCCAAGGGCAATCAAATGGCCACACATCAAGACGTACCATAATCCAGTTACTTCACAAATGAAGAATCTAAGCATCTTCGAAAGAATAATTTTTACTTTACTGGCTGGACCACTGATAACGTTGGGCAGACGGATCGAAACGACGAGCGAGGCAATATGTTTGATCACTGACGATGACGGATAGTAGTCACTACCGACAAAGTTCGAAATTTCGCGTGTGAAGGTTTAACGAAGTGCACTTACATTCTGGATGGTTAGTTAACATCGCTGTTGACTTCAACTCCTAATACATTAAGTTTTCGACTTTTCAAATCAAATGAGACGATTAAACAATTTACGATTGGGTGACGCGACAAAGCACTTGTTCGCACAACTTTTGACAGTCACAACTGCCTAGTTTCGGATAACAGGAATAAAATTTGTTCCCGAAGTGCCTTCCATGAGATAATTTTAAGCACGTGCAAAACGGTGTGGGCGCTATAGCATCGTCAAATGATGGATACTTTCCTTCATCCTGGGCAAGCAAACGCACCGAATAGAATTTGCGCAGACACATCATGCCACCTCACAAGGTGGGAATATGCAGAAGCGCTAAAGGGTCAGATATGCTGCGGCCTGGGAAAATCACCGAACAGGTGTATACGCTTCATGAGATTTGTCCGAGGCAGGTGATTACCGC